AACCAGTGGTGGCTGTTTCTACTGTGCTGTCCTAATTACACATCTGTTTATGCTAAGTTAGTAATGAGTGTACAAGTAGGACACACAAATTACAGCACCAATGATATCTTGAGGGAGAAAAGTAAAGTCATGATTGAAGTTTTAGAAAGAGAAAGTTGTTGGTTTTTTTTTAATCCCACCACTTATATTTTGAAACTTTTTTGTACTTTATTTGCCTAATGTATAGTATTGTCTTCATGCTTGTAGAGAATATTGCAATTCTCCAAGTAAAATGGTGAGAAAAAATCGTTCTTCGTGTAGCAGCTTTCATGTGCCCCTTTACCTTGTATGATAAATTAGAGTTCTGTGAGAAAAATAACTGCAGACTGCTTTATGCAATCCAGAGCACACTTTCAATTCCAGTCTTAGTGTCAATTTTCTTTAAATTTACTGTCCTTTGCTGCCTAATTCAATGCAGCCAGACTCTTATTTCCCTTGTTGAATGTTCTTGCTTATGTTGTATCAAGTTTGTCTGTGTACATTCTGGTTTCTTCCTTTTTTAACATCCTGATAGTCCATCATAGCAATTATGACACTAAAAAGTAAAGTAAAAAAGCATATGTTCATAGAGAAATGGATAATATACCCAGTTCAGAATGCTACTTGATAAGAAGTTTTTTCACAGGAGATGGAGGAGATCCAAGGCTATACTGGAAATATTTTGAAATGAGCTTTCTGACAAGCTCAAAATGTGGCATTTAACACCTTCAGAATTGGAAGCGATAGTTATATAAGCTTTTACCATTAACAATCCTCAAGTTACATGTCATAGGAAAGGAGAATGGAGCTACTATTGACTGCATAGCAAGAAATTTTAAATGTATCGTAGTCCTCAATGTCAGCATATAGTTATTGTGCAAGGGATGGAAAAGTTTACTTTCACTTGTACCCATTTTAAACTTGTTTTCATGGTTTTCAGGCTGTTCATTAAACAAGTTACGTGCTCTCCAAAAATAAGCCACGATGGTGCTCTTCATGTGGTGAAATCAGTCCTTTTTACTAAAAGTCTAGCCTCTAAGGTTACCAGTTTACTCACATTTCAACTCTAGTTTAATTCTTTGTGTTGCATGTTTTGAACATTCTGCCATGTCTTCATAACTGAAATTATTCTAATATTTTCTAATGAAAATATTTCTTGTCTAGTAGAGAAGTGATATGATTCTGTGAGCATATAAACAACTAAATATTTTCTATGTTTGTAATAGACCGAGAAGGAATGAGTGATATACCTGAAACTGAAGAGACTGGAAGAGCTTGTGATTCATGGCAGAGTGACCTGTGGGCACAAGTGAAAGACAAGTTAATGAAATATTTACATCACAGCACAATTTTCCCAGAAAGCATCCCACGTAAATTTGATTATGTGCACAAAGACTTACTTATGCAACAGTACAACCTTCATGCAGCAGTGCACCAGCCAAAAGAAACCAGAGCAGATAAAAATATCAATGAGTTTAAAAGTGCTAGTGGCCTTGGCTATTACGAAGTGACAGTTCTGGGTAAGTATTTGGTAGCTCAGCTTCTAAAAAAGGTTAAGCAAGAGAAGTATAAGATCTTACCTCTTTGCTGCTTTAACTTGAGAATGACTTGAAAGTTTGTCAGAAACGGAATGGATTTCTCTAAATGAATCAGTTGATGCTGAGTATTTCTTGAAGTTTTAAAATATGATTGACATTTTAGGTCTTTGTTAGAGTCATGATTTAGGATAATTTTTTACTGGAAAGCTGTAATTCTCATTAAAAATACCTTTAAATGAAATGACTGAATATCTTGTTTCTAGTATCACTTTTCATATAATTGCAATTTTGTGTGTAAGTTTCTGTGTATTATTTGAAGAATGTGTATAGTCCTTAAGCTATTGATTATTACAATTAGAGGTAGGTCCTGTTCACTAGTTCAACCTGTCTGACATCATCAGGTAAATTACTCAATTGCACTTGATTGTCAGCTGACTTTCTGATGGAGAGGTATTCATCAGAAACAAGTTAGTGTTCTTAAAGGGAAAAGGGCAACTATAAATGCTTTTTTTGAGCTTTATTCTCATTGAGTTGTTTTTTTGAGTACTGTTGCTCCCAAAGTGCCTTTCTTCCATGCTAGAAAATTAAGGGCTGTGTTTTAACCATACTCATCAACTGCTACTTCTGGTTAGCACAAAGCATCAGTTGATTGATCTTTATTTGTCAAAATATAAATGTGCAACTTGATGTGTATCTGTTTGTTGGCATTACTGAGGGATATTAGTCAGTTTGATTTTGTTTTCCCATTAAAAGGAGAAGGAAATTGCCTAGCTTATTGATGCTCATGTTAAGTTCCCGTAATTTAAAACTTTCCATTATTTGCTAAGGGAGATTTGCAGAGAAGGTGTTGAATATTTACAGTCATTAGAATCCTGGGACTTACAATATAATATTCAAGACGAAAGTAGCACAAGTACTGCACCACATACTGCATAGACACACTGGTTAAAATTAATTTCTCTGCCGTTGTAGCAGCAGTAAAGTTAAAAAGGAGTGTGAAATGGCTTCCAATGTTGGTTTAATATTTTCTCAGCTGACAGCATTATTAGCTTTAAATCATTGTATGTTATAACATCATATCAATTTGAATGTGCTTATGTATAAATATATATGCGTGTATATATTGAAATGTATTTTTAGATGTCAGTTATTAATTAATGGACAAAGAACAAGTAAATAAAAATCAGTATTCAGCCTGCAATAGTTTGTTTTTTAAAAAAAAAAATTATGCATGAAGTTGGTAATGGGCTGAAGATTAAGTTTTCTGCTAACTTAAATATTTTTTTCAACAGGTATAAACCACGATGTAGCAATAGATGTTGCATTTCTTCCACTGTTTTGTCCTGAAGATCCCCACTTATTTCAACTAGAAGACATTCAAAATGATACATTACTGTCATGTATGAGTTGCATCTCTGCATGTCAACAGGCAGCCACTAGCAATGGAAGGCTTCGTGACATGTTTCCACTTTCAAGTGAGACTAGCTTTCACTGACGTCACTCATTTATCATTTCTTGTTTTATCTTTCAACACAAGATTTAATTCTCTATAGAAATGTCAGTTGTAGGTCAGACATTGTTCACCTCTAACAGGAAAGATACATGAATTCTATGTGACCACCTTTAGTAAATAGATGTAATGCTGAACTTTCAAGGCAGTTTTTACTGGAGCTGTTTTCATACTCTGAAGCTAGTATTTTAATATCCAAACCGCAAAGTCCTAAGTGAACTGGATAGTACTTGCAGTTATTTGTTGATGCAAAGTTGTAATGACATAGAAGTCAGTATTTGTGGCTGAGCATGTGAATATTTGGCTTGATCTGCTTTGAAATAGAGTGGAATAACTGTCAATCAGTCAATCCATTTCACTGATGTCTCTTTGAACAGCTGCTTTAATGCAACCTAGAGTGCCTATGAACTGAAGTATTTACCTGCTATTGAATTATTTTCCTTCAGATTATGCTTCTAATTACTAGCACCTCACAACAAATATGGTGAACTCTATTAATGTGTATCATATTGCAAAGTGCTGTATAAGCATTGTGTTTTCCTGCATGTTTATATAGACAGACCTGATTGTATTTAAATACATCTTTACTTTTCCTTGAATAATACTATGAAGTCTGAGAATGACTAATGGTTAAGTAATACATATTTCAGCTTTTCCATATCTAAGTTCTGAGGCTGTCATTTCTAGTGATTGAATTTACTAATTGAATACCCAATTCAAAAAACCCAAACCAAAACAGTAGGCCAGTATTTAATAATTAGAGTGAGTTTTTTCACTGAAGGAAGGTTAAACATACAAATTACTACATGGAAAACGATGTCAATTCAGTATACCTTTTTACTGTATGTATATTAAAACACCTTTTCTTAACTTCTAGATGAAATTGTAAAAGCAGCGATGGATCTAGACGGCAAACATGTTGTCTGCATCTTGGACATCTGTCACTTGGGTGATGATAAGGTAGAAGTCTTTCTGAGCAAAATCTACAAGACGGTGGAACCTGGTGTGCTGGATCCAGTGTAAATTAATAACTTATTTTTCAAATTTATATTGTTCAAAAGGAGGGAAATAAAATTGCTGTGACTTGAATACACCCTCTACACATTGCACTTTTCTAGAACTAGCAGACACAAACATGAAATTATGATTCTTAGAGCAATTGTCATCCACATAATTGAGAAGGACGATTGTTGCCTTTGTTTTTTGGCAGTCATGAAACAGATTACACGATGTCTTGGTCACTTATGTTCAAGAAGGATGAATAGGCAATATAGTGAGCTTATCTTTTGATAGAATACCAAGGAATATGATTGTCATCTCTCTTCCTCTGCCTGTGCACGTACATACACAGGAAAGGTATATATCAGGGTGAGAACAGAGAAGAGAGGCAGGCTTTCCCAATATTAAAGGCAATGTTTGCAAAAGAATTAACTGACTGTGATATAAATTTAGACTAGAAATGAGAATAATTTTGAGGATTACAGCTGTTATGTTCTATAGTGATGTTTTAGTGAGAGATACTAAGGGCAGCCTAACTGCTCTTTAGGCTTGAAGCTTGCTGTGTTTGTGAAAGGGATTAAATACCATGGTGCCTTTAGTACTGGGAACTGGACTCCGTGATCCAAGAAGCCACTTTCAGTTCTTTTTACCTGAGCAAGGTTAACTGCTTTTTATATGTCTGCTTTTGTATATACAGAGTTGGGTAGTAAGTGTGGCACCCAAAGGTTTTTAACATATTTAATTTATTAATAAAAAAATAATGAAATATTTTTAAAAAGAAACTTTGTTAGTGGAACTTTGCTAGCTTTGCAAGAGAAAAACTGTTTCTAAGGAGTGCTTAGCACGGCAGGATACACAGTTTGTCACACCATTAGGTTTTTTCTGTTGATGACCGCTATCCTCTTTCTCTTTAGTCATAGCTGTATTCTGAGTATATGAAGGAGCTCAGCAGCTGCGAGAAGCTGCTACTTCCACAACAGCAAGAGACTCTGTAAAATTCTGTCAACTTTTTGCCTGTATGCTAAGTAGCAGCTGGCTCCTGCTGAGTTCAGAACCAAGTCCCACTTTTTCCTCCCATGTCAAACGGCCTCAAATCATTTATACAGCTTGATCCTTAGGAAATTGTTCTCAAGCAGGAGCTAAAACACATTGCTATTTAACAACTTGTCCATGTGAAATGCTGGTCTCGGTTCAATTCTTTGAGAAGAAATTATTGCATTATGGAAGCTTGCCAATTAAATTGTACTGTTATTGACTGAGTTAATTTATAGGAACAGATTTATTCTTCTGTGGAAAACTTCTAGGCACGTTTTAGCAGCCTGTTGGTAATTGGGGAGTATCTCTTTCAACTTGTCTGCCCTGGAGACAGTGGACTTTGTCTTCAGATACTTAAATTCTGTAACCTAACTTCAGTTAATGGTAACTGAAGGAGAAATGTAACTGTCTATTATAGTACCAGTTCATAGGCAACTTCAGACAAAAAGTAAAAGCCTTAACATTCTAAAGAAATTGATAAAATGATTCTGTCTCTCTAGTGTGGTTTACAGTTTAAAAATGTATTAATGAGAAAAGCTTAACTTAAATTACACAGAGACTAAAAGTTAATTAAATGTGACTATGTATTGTATGTTTATATTTTGTATGGATCATACAGTATTCGTTCTAGAGCAACTTTTGTCAACCCATGGCTTCCGGAGTACATTGTAACCTTGCCACAGAGGGCAGAATGAAAACATACCAACCAGAGAAGACCACGATGTTGCTTGCTATATGTTTTTTGTGTAATTTTGTTGCTTATGGGTATGTGAAGATCTGAGGCCATTGCTCTAGAGGGGGAGAGATTAGCACCAGCACTTCGTATACCAAACTGAGCCATGCTGACTGTGTCAGCCAGTATTTTTTATTTAGATATACTTCAGATCGAAGTCTAATTTTAATGAAACCATTATTTCTAAAAGCAATTTTTAAAGTAATTATCTTTATATGAAAGGAGTGACGTGGCTAACGCTGTCACAGAGCCTCTCTATTCAGTTGTTCTAGCCACTCTATCCATCCCATGCAATAGAAATGCAGCAAAGGCTGTTTGCTGCATTGCACTCGTTACTACACTTTGAACATGTAGCATTAATCATTTCATCCTCCATGTTAGGACTTCCTAACTCTAAAAGATATATCAGAATGGTGTGGAATATGTATAATATGCGCTTGAGACTTTAAAGTGTATAATTTTATTTTACAGAAGTGGTGTTTGAAATTTTTCATGGCAAAAGCTGGGAAGGAGGGATATTTACTCTTGCAGAACGAAGTGCCAATGTTAGAAGCACAGACTTCTTGTGTGTAGCTAGAGAATGTTAGACTTGGAATTTCAATACTCTGGGTCATTCTGTAGAGGCACTTACCCCATACCCGTAAGTTACACTGAGCTTGCCGACTTCAGTTTCTGAAGTGTTGCAGTGTTAATATATCGGCTGACCACTCTGTCTCCCTTCTGCCTGCCAAACCAGCACTGCAGCACTGGGGCGAAGGTCCTCTCTGCAAAGAAACCGCTTGGTGTTTATTGACACAAGTATAAAACCAAAGTATTTTTGATCCTGAGTCTGTCAAAACATGGCAATTTTGCCGTGTTAAACCAAGATACAGAATCTTCACTCCTGCAAAATGTCATAGGAATTGTCTTTCTTGCTGCTTTGTATTGCCACTGCTGAGGGTAAAATACTATCAGAGCACATTCCTTAACTGTAGAATTCATACCCAGCCAAAGAACTGTACTCTAAAATCTTACATTTGCATGTTTCTTATGTTTCCAGCATTAATTTCAAAGAAAAACAGAGGAAGGTAAACTGTATGTAGCTAACGGTACTTTTGAGTGTGTAAAACTTGCTAAGTCATAGATCTTAGAGGTAAGATCAGTTTTGAATTAATGTGATGTAGAACTAGTGCAACACTGAAGACTGGAGAATATAAATAAATGAATTAATATATGTAAATGTCTTGGATTATTTCTTTCAATTTCTTTCCATTTTCTGTTCACTTCCAAAAGCTGTTTCAGTTTTCCAAGAATCTTCTCCATAGTCATGTTTACTCTTTAAAAGAATCTCTACAGGAGAGCTAGGTCGAGCTTCCATCAAAATGTGTGCCACTGATTGCAGCTTCTCTTGGCTTTCAGCACTGTGTGCAGCATGACATTTGCAGAAAACCAGGAAACAGGTCTTGATAACTTTACAATTTGTCCTTTATTTTCATTATGGACTACAGAGTTTTGACATTAGTAAGGTTTTCATTTTTCTGTTCTAATATAAGAAAACAAGAGTTGATACTAGTGATTGTTATGGCATACAACACTGACTAAATTCAGTGAAAGAACCTATGGAGCCTACATAAATGGAGAGTTGTATGATAATCATTTAGATATCTCAATGTAAATCTTGAAAGTGAGCTAGAGTGTGAAAGTGGGCTGAAAGAGGTAGTTTGCCTCTGTGCTCAGTTTAGATGATTCTGCATCTCTTGCATCATTATAAATCAATATTAAAATCAGTTCATTATAAACACCAGATATCAAGCTGGTCTTCACAGAGTAGATGACTGAGAGAATCCAAAAGGAGAAACGCGGGGAATGACTTGGTTATCTTAGTCTGAAAGATGGGTAAATTTTTTTTAGTATTACCCTCTCTCCACTTTTGACCTTTTTAGCAAGGTCATTTGCATAACAGATTGCATTGTGAAGTGAGAACCCTGAGCTTACATCACCAAATGAAAGATGACCTGGTCCTCTGAAGTGACGTTCAAGTTGAAACAGGAACAGGAAGCTTGAGCTATCTCTTAGGAAGCATCGTCAAAGCTAGAATTTGTACAGTAATGGGAGGGAAGGAAGGGGGAGAATGATGCTTTGTGAAAAAGGAGCAAAAAGTTAGGGCCGAAGGTTACTTGCAGGTCCTTCAGTCTGCATCTCTATGTCACAATGAGTAGGCGTGTCACCTGGGTTCCATCCCAGCCTCTGCTCCAGATGAGCTCAGTGGCGCCCGGAGAGCTTACCCAGGTGGTGTCAAGTTCCTCTTGGAGCTGAAATTTCAAACTCCTCAGCAGGCTGTGGGCTAACAAGCACCACTGCCAGCTGAAAATACCGCTATTTTCATCTACATTTCGTGCTTATAGACAAGCAATGAAGAAAGTGGCTGCGTTCATTTTTTTTTATCTCCTCTTTTTTTGGATTTTATTCAAGACTACAGAGGCATTTTCTGTGGGAGCCTCTGTAAATTTACTCTATTTCAACAGTACTAGCAACCAGACGGTTTCGGAGCACTGCGAATGTGGCCTGTATGGATTAAATTCTCCTCTACTTAGTGTTTGGGGACTTGTGGCTATTCCTACATCTGATCGCCAAGCCTGCAATGCAAATACCCAGTTCAGCATCACAAAACCACCGTGGATAGCGCTGGTCAAAAGAGGCAATTGCAGTTTTGCTCAAAAAATTAGGATGGCAACCAGAAGGGGTGCAGCAGCAGCTGTGATCTACAATATGCTGGGCAAAGGCCACAACGCCATCCCGATGTCGCATCGCGGTGAGTATCACAACATGAAGTGCTGAAACCTGATCATTTCTCTGAAGTTTGTCCCAGGACAGCACAGCTGGGCTATAAGAAAGCAGTTGTATTTGTGGATGATTGTTGCTTTAATCGAGAAATTCAATGGGGAAAAAAAAGAAAAGGATTATGCAATTTGAGTCTTGACTTCAGTGCTTAGTAAGAAATAACTCCACTGTTACATTCTGAGCTTGGTACAGTGTAGCCAAACTGGTGAGTCTTTGAAGTTAGTACCACTTTTACTTGTACAGCGCACAAATTATTTTAGACAGTGATGTAGAGAAACCCATAGTGTCTACTTTGAAGGCACTAGTTTATTTTTCGAGGTTAGAGGACACAAATGAACCTACAAGTGTCTGCAGCATAGGTGTATGCTTTGCAGATTGCAAGCCAGATCTTGTGCTTTTTTTTTTCTTTCCCCACTGAATTGTTCTTTCTGAAGAGTGGCTGATCTCAGCCTCTTCTGGGATTCCCTAATTCCTTAATGAAAGGTTAGACAAAGTGATTGTAATTGCCTGATCTGGCCCTGTCATTAGGGAAGAACTGAGAAGCTAACTGTGATACTGTATTGCTTGGCTTTTGTTTGTGTGTATGTTCACAGGTCAAACTGGTCTGATAAGCATTTTAGTACAAAACATACATAGATGTAGCTAATTCCTTGAAATATGCTTTGGTGGAGCTGCACTAGGAATCCTTTGGCTTAAGTCTTTCTTGTCTGATTTTGTGAGCAAACTGCGATTTTTGCTCCGGAGACAGGCCAACATTTTAGTGGTCTGTAGGGATTGATTCACGGACTCTGGCGCGGGTAAAACCAAAGACCTTTATTGTTTACAAGTTTGTGCTTATATAGATTCACTAGCTGTCCATGCGCTCTAGTTTGTTCATGGATTGGTTAACCCCTGCTGTCCACGTGCCCTAGTTTGTTCATGGATTGGTTAACCCCTGCTGTCCACGCACCGCAGCTGTTTTTAATTGGTGCTGTTAATCAAGACACATGTCTTCTAGTTTGGGTCTCACAGCTGTGCTTCAAAACATTTTTATCTTCAGCTCACTTTCTGCGCTTGCTTCATTACTTACTTTCTCAGACTATTTCCTTCAAGGCTATGTTGTTCAAGGTCGCTTGCAACACTCCCTGTGAATCCCACAGTGGTCCCATCCCTGTGCTGGTTTGGGTTGTCACTTCAGGAAGTTTCCAGCTGTGGAGCCCACACCTGGGTGGTTCATGGGAGTCAGCTGGCACCAGCTGTTGGGCAGGCTGGCTCAGACCCTCAGTTAGGCACTTGGAGGAGCATCGCGTCCTACACAAAGTATTGCACAACATGATAAAAAATGTGCTGCATGGCTCTGGAAGTGCAGTGGCTTCTTGTACTACACAGCCAGCTTTGACTCTCTTGGTATCATGATAGAGCTAGTGTTTGCAAACAGAGCTTAACTGTTTTACTGGAGATGTGTAGCCAATAAACCAAAGCTTTTGTTCTACCTCTGGAGAAAGTGATTTAGACTTCAGTGGCCAGCATGTCAAGATTCAGATTAACTTGCTTTTTTTTATTTGGTTCTGGAGCATGCCAGCTCATAGTAACACTGAATGAATAAAGAATTGTACTGGCTTTATGTAGCTGCAAAACCAGTGCCAGCTGCGTTTCCTGTGAGCGGTGGTGGCCGCAGCCGGCCCAAGGCACCGGCACGGTGGGAGCAGGGCAGCCTCATCCCTGAGGTCAGTGGAGGAGAATGGAATGGAATGGAATGGAATGCTGGGTAACTGGGATGTCACAAAGCCCACGGTTAGACTAGACTAGATGCCAGAAATAAGATAATTATTTAGGATGAGCTCTGAAAGCAGACCCTAATTTTTCAGATTTTTTTTTTTCTAAAACTAAGAAGATTTTTTAAATCTTGAAAGCAACAGATATATCACCTGAGAATGTATTCATGAGACTTGAAGTCCCATCTTTCTTATTTCATTTCATTTTCTCAAACTGTGATTTTTATAGGACTATTTCCTATAGTCATCCTATAGGACTGAACTGGATATTACGATCTATTTGGTGCTAAAGAAGGTTTATAAATCAGTGTAGTAGTCATGTGCGTTGAACATGGTGAGGGCAAAATACTTCAGTGAGATGAGCTCTTCGTCTAGTCAATATAGGAGAAGCATCTCCTCTCCGTATTTGCAGTGTGGAGCCGTACCTTCTTCAGGTAAAAAGGAAAACACCTGAGAGAGGGGTGGTCACTGCAGCACAGCACTTAGAGTAAAAGAGTGCCTGGAGATGATATATTTTTTTACAAAAGTAGAGTTGTTCACAGGGCTGGGGAAGGAATCTCCTGTTTGGCTGGAATCTGCCAATGCTGGCATCGGCCAGAGAGATCTGAGGAGACTTAGTGATTAATCCTCTCTGCCATTTGGGTAGGGGACCTTCGGAGATGGGATGTCCTGTTGGCAGAGCAGCGAGAGAAAAACCTGCTCTGCTGCTGCCTGCGAGCTCCTGATTAAAGAAGGAGCAGCAGCCTGCGGGGTATGGGCCGGCTCTTGGCTGGGGCCAGCCCTGACATCCTCAGTCATCCGTCTGTATTGCTTCGCTACGGCGCAGGGCTATAGGAATTCCATCACCTTGCTTATTTATTAGACCTTAGGGCCTCGGCCGCAGTTTCCCTCCATCCTCCTCCCTTCCTGTTGACTTTAACATAAAATCAATAGAGCTTTCTAGCCAACTTTCTTTTCTGTTACAGCAGTACAATAGTATGCATGTATTTCACATCATAAAACACCCGCTCAGTCTTACAGCAATGAAATAGTTTGTTCTGGGCAAAGTCCGGGTCTGCAGGGAAGGTTGGTAATTTAAAGTTGCTGGGAAGGAACAAAGACAAAAAACTGCGCTCCTGTGGTGACTCCTTCCTCATCCTCTACCACAGTTCCTCTTACCTGCCATCAGTTTTACTTGTTGCTGGGTATTGGTTTGTTGTTACACACACAGACATAAGATAAAAGTGATACATTAATAGCTTTTACTATGGAAAATTTTAGAGGTCAAGATATTAGTAATAACTTTCCCATTCCTCCTTGATTACACAAATCACTGATGGGAAAATGCTCTACTTCAATCTGAAAGATTTTCTGTAAGCGTTTGTTTTATTTGCATGCAGTTAGATTGATCCAATGATACAGAGACTAAGCTTTTGCTAGAAGAAAAATGTCTCTTTTTAGTAGTTCCAGCATTTACTTGATTTTCTCTGGAAAGGAAATGGAATATGCATCTATAACAACATATTTCCAGCACCGCTCCTTGAACCTTAAATGGAAATTCCAGGCATTAGCAAGTTTTTGAAACATAGCCAAATTTAAACAAGGTATTTTGGGGGCTCCTTTTTTACTAACAAATCCCAGACCACAGCTGGTAGCAAAATAACGGTGCCCTGCAAACTGACGGAGCAGCTGGTTTGGGCCATGCTGTGTAAGCAGGGCTGGCACACCTCGGCAGAGGGCTGTATCCTCTCGTCATTGTGATTTTTTTTTGCCTGTTTTCTTGTTTGTTAATAAGAGAAAATAGGAGACTGGAGTTAGCATTAACAAAAAAAAATTAAAACACCATTATTGCTGCCATTTGGATCCTAGTCCAATATAGCAGCTAAGCTAAATGATCAAGTGTGTTCTGAAAGGTTTTCTCCAAGGCATTTACTAAGACTCGGTGAAAGGGTCTTAAGCTCGTTAAAGCTTCCAAGACTCATGAAGAACAGTACCCTGGCAGAATTGTTGTACAATGGGAGCAAGCAGGTATCTCAGTTTGTCTGTACAACAGAAATAATCGGCAGTCCTGACAGTAATAGAAAAAAATTGTTGTGGATCTGTGTTTCCTTCCAACTTGTTTCCAGGATATTCTGTAGCCTCAAAGTCTAACTTTTGTTATCTCAGAAGTATTTTGAGATAAGATCTTCTCAGCTGTTGGTGCAATACCCATTATAAACTCGTGGGCTAAATGCCTGACGATGGAGTTTGGTTTTATCTTTTGTTTTGAAAGCTGGTATAAATTCTTGGTCAGGTTCCTCATCTTAACTCTCTACAATATCATTCCTTATTTGATCTTCTGAGTCATTTCTGTTTTACAACACATTTTCAGTCATCTTCTCTGTTTACTATAGAAAAAGCTGGGCTCTCTATCCTAGCTCTGAACAGCCTGTGGGACCCGCATGTGAAAACAAATGAACTTCCAAGAACAACCATGCAAAGCAGATGCCATGAACTTTCCTTTTCATTTATTCCTTGCAAGTGGCTCTCCTAACAGCAGTCCAGATGCCTCCATGAAGTCAAAATTCTCATAGCATAGACTGAATTCCTCCATTTATTGTTCAAGAAAATTGTCTAAGTGGCTTCACGCCTTTGGTGCAGTGAGAGGCATCAGGGATGCAGGGAGGGCAGCGGCAGGAAGGATGAAGCCCACAGCCCTTCACCAGTGGGAGCCGTCACTGCGAGGAGAGGCTGGGAGAGCTGGGGCGGGTCCGCCTGGAGAAGGCTTGAGGGGTTCTCATCCATGTGTACAAATTCCTGAAAGGGCCAGGGAGGGTAAATATGATGGAGCCAGACTCCTCTCAGTGGTGCCCAGTGAGAGAAGTAGAGGCAATGGGCACAAACAAGAAATTACCTAAGGAAAAACTTCTTCACTGTGAGGGTGGTTGAACAGTGTGGCAGGTTGCCCAGGGAGGTTGTGCAGTCTCCATCCTTGGAGATGCTCAGAACCTGACCAGACATGGCCCTGCTCAGAGCCGGGTTGGACTGTCCAATCTCCAGAGCAGGCAGCCTTTTCCTTCCAGAAAGGCTCCTGAGCAGCCATAAAAGTCCGTGGGGGCTGTGCTCACCTCCGCAGAGTGCAGGCTGCTGGAGAGCTGCATTCAGGTCTGGGATTTTCCAGAGCCCCCAGATCATGGAGACAGCAAAGCCCAGGACCTCACCATGCTGCCATTTAGTGCTGTTTCGTTAGCTTCCAAGGTAATCAGTGCGATGAGCACTGGGTTTATTTCAGGTGACTGCATACTGTGAACCACTTGTTCATCCATAAACCTGGTGGTGAACATATACAGGGAGCCCAGGTTCTGCTTCTGTGGAAAACCAGCAGAAGGTTTGTCCTGGGACCACAACATAGCGCGCTCATGAGTTTCCTCTGTTAGCAAAGCGCAGGAGAGGCTTTGCAAAATTTTAACTGCCAGAACCAGAAAAATAAGCCAACCTGCTGGCTAACCACTTCCCCTAAAAAGAGAAAGGTGGCATCCTCTGTTTAACCTGCTGGAAACAAAGAACAGAAGAAATATTTGCATGTAATTGAGTCGATCAATCTGGCTTCTAATTACAAGCACGTAATATAATATAGAACGTGCACAGCTTTCCTCAGTCACTGATCAGTGTAACCTCACTTACCAGTCACGCCATTGCAGTTGAAGTTGTGTTAACTGTTATGACCCAAAAACTGAAGAGAATAAAAATGTAATGGTGGAAGCCTGATGGTCACCCGCAGAAACAAGTGAAAGGTGTCCTTGGGGGCATTGCGGAGTGTGGTGGTGAGGGTCAGCTCCTGGTGCCTCTTTTCCACGCTGGCACCACTGCCAAACACCTCAGAAGGATCGATGAAAGCCAACGAGGCAAACGGTGAATTGCCTGAGGGCAACCGCCCGAGCAAAGAGCTGGGTGTAAATAGCTAAGAGGAAAATGCTCGAGACAGGTTGATTTTAAATTCTGATCTCCTCGAAGGCTGCTGTGGTTCAGGGTGTTGCTCAGGCTTAGGCCAAGACTCCGAGCTTGGAATCCAGCTGGATTTAAGCATTTCATGGATGGTCTCTTGTGTTTTGAGATGGTTCTTCCTGGTGAAGCACACAGGGTGTGGTAGAGACCTTTTTCTTCAGGAGCTCAGTGCACTGACTCACACCAGGGAAGAGCTGAGTTTGGTTCCTATTATCACCTGAGAGAACTGAAATCCATTTTCTTGCTTCCTTGAAGATTCCCGAGCTGCAGGCTGTGCTGGCCAGCACTACGCCTTTTGTGCTTATGGCACTACAGGAAAGCAGAGCTGATTGCTGGCCCTACCCAGACTGGTGCACACGTAGAAGCAGGACAGCAGGTGCTTGAAGTAAATAAACTGTTTTGTGAGCAAAACAACTAACAAAGTGGGATTTTTTTGTCCTAACACCTGTCCTCTGTGTCCCTATACCCCCCTCTGACTCCACGTGACTAATGCTTTCCTCTTTCCCCCTTCCCGTCCCTATGGTTTCACCTCTGTTCCCACCACAAGCTCAAGACTCCTTTTGCTTCCTTGTTCCTGGAAATAATAAACCCCACGCTCTGGCAGGTGAGCCTCTCCCTGGGCAGAGGCACTCAGGAGCTGGCAGTCCAAAAACAGATCGTGGTTGCTGAACCTCGGGTTTCTGCCTCTCCTAAGGGACCTGCAGGAACTGATGAGGCTTTCTGTCCTTAACCAGGTGCTGATATTAAAAAACTTGTGGGACACTTCTCCTTGGATTTTCCAAACTTTCAGCTGAGTTTGGCTGAAATTGGTTGTCAGTGTAGGCAAGCAGGGAAGTTATCCACAGGGAGGAGATGGGAAAGGAAGAGGGATGAGGACAGAAGGAAAACTATAGGATTGCATACCTTGTTTCCATTGAAAACCAAACCAAAAACAAGCCAGCTTCAGGTTTTGGAGGTGATCTAAGCAGCAACTGACCAGAAGTTTTAAGAATATGGACCTAAATTTCACTAAGTCTCTTTCAGGATCAACTTTT